AGAGGAGAGATTCCTGCGTCTATATCATCTCTCCAGCGAACAGATCCATGGAGTCCTCCGCCAAAAAGCCGACGTTGCACTGCTGCCTCAGTGCGAGGATGCGCTGTCTCCACTGCAGGGGCTAGCAACAAGCAGCACGGCTCGCTCTCTCGCCGAAGCAGCGATGCAAAATACAAAAACAAAGCGGGGTGGGGGGAACCCCACAGCACCACACAAATTTTTCCACAACGAGGGGAGGGGATGGAAAAAGACCCGCCGAGGCTGACTCCGTACTGCTTATGCACACTCCACCAGCCGCCGCCACCTCCTCCTCATGCTGCTGCTGCTTCTACTGGCTCTCAATGTATCGGCGTGCGGTGTGGAGGGCTAGGGAGGGGGCAGCCTTCTGTCCCCCTTGCAGCCAGCCAGAAGAGTGGTCCTCAGCTCATTGCAAAGAGAAACGGCACCTCCCGCGAAGAGCCGCCGCCGCCTCGGCCTCTCCTAGCAGATAACAGGACCGGCTCCCCTCAGCGAAGCTGCAGCGGCGGCGGCTGCCTCACCCGGCCCGGCCCGGCGCGCGCTCGCTCCCTCACACGGTCCTCTTTGCAGGAGAGAGGCAACCCGCCCCTTTCAAAACCAGGCTTTGTACAGCCCCTCTTCCACAGAAGCTACTGGCCGGCATGGCTCCGCCTCACGCTCGGCCCGATTGGCTGGCGACCAGCCGCCGCTTTCCGCTAACAGCGCGGGCTCCGGGGAGCTGGGCGGCCGAATCGGCTTCCCTTCCAATAGGTTGCCCAGTTAGGAGGGAGGAGGGCGGGGAATGTTGGAAGCCGCGGCTGCAGCTGGCATCTGCAAAAAAAATCAGAGTCAGATAAATAATTAAAGAATGGCCGCCTCCCGCGCGCGCGAGGAGCTGGGGTGGGGGGGAGGGGCCCTCCTCTGGTGTAGTTTTAACTCCTTCGGGGGCGTTGCCGCTTAGCCGGATCTAGAGGAAAGCGTCCTCATCACAGCAGGGCGGAATAGGAATCACCCGCCTAAGGACTGTTTCCACGCTGATTGTATTATTTCTGTGCTTGTAAGCACAGCTAGAATACCCACCTAGACTGAATGAGGAGCAACCTGCGTGGAGAAACATACGAAGTTCCCTTTTACTGAGTCAGACCACTAGCCCAGTATTGCCTACTCTGACTGGCAGCTGCGGTTCTTGGGCATTTTGGTGCTACCTCGTGGTTTTGTTTTTTTAGCTGGAGAGCCAGAGGAGTTGTTTGTTCTGGTCAAACTTCAAATCTCTTTCAAGATTTGGCCAGTCCCATATAGAGACAGGGAAATAAATTTGCATCAAGCATCCCCAGCATCATCTACCATTTAGCTTTGTTTATTATTATTATTATTATTATTGCTACCTGCTACCCCAATATCCAAGTGGTGTGAATCCAGGGGTTTCAGGCACTTACCCAGGGTTCCTATTTCCTTTTGGAAATGAGGCACAGCTGAGACTGGGGTGTCTCTATGATGTATGTTTTATTTACACATACTGTATATACAACCTGAGCCTACCATGGAGGGGCTCACAGCATTCAGACCCTAAGAGAGTCCTGCTTATTCCATAGCCCCCACAGCTTTGGATTCAAATGACACCAGCCATGGCTCGCCTTCTCTGCTTCCAACTTTCTTCCCAGCCAACTGCAATCCTAAAACTCAACCCTGCTCTGTCTCTGCAAACTCTTTCCCAGATGAGAGTGGCTCATACCCATCTACCGTCAGGCCCTGAGTCTTTGCTTTGTGAATTGCCCATTCTCTCAGGCAATTTCCTGAACACAGGAAAGTGATTTGGCCTGTATTTTAACAATTTGGTAAATCCAGCGTCTGACCACAAGTTTTAACACTCTAACATTGGATAAATTCTAACACCAAGACTCAAGAATTTAGAACTTGGCACCTAAAATCCGGGCACCCACAACTCATAATAATAAGAAGAAGAAGAAGAAGAAGAAGAGTTACAACATTTAGGGCATGTGGATAAATTATTTGGATAGGATTGTCTGCTTATGTTTTGTGCTTTGAAAAAATATTTCAGTGAGCTCTGTTGATGTCAGAGTATACCGTTACCGTATTTTTCGCTCTATAAGACGCACCAGACCACAAGACGCACCTAGTTTTTGGAGGAGGAAAGAAAAAAAAAATATTCTGAATCTCAGAAGCCAGAACAGCAAGAGGGATCGCTGCACAGTGAAAACAGCAATCCCTCTTGTTGTTCTGGCTTCTATGATAGCTGCGCAGCCTGCATTCGCTCCATAAGACGCACACACATTTCCCCTTACTTTTTGGGAGAGAAAAAGTGAGTCTTATAGAGCAAAAAATATGGTTATTATCAAAGTTTGAGGCCTTGGGCTTATGCTCCCATTTAAGGTCTGTTTAGCAGAACCTGCTTGGTGAAAGAAAAATACGATGATTGCTTTTAATATTTTTAGACAAGGCTTGGATAAGATAAATTAATTCTGATTTGTGTGGGAGACAACACACTCTGAATGGTTGGAGGTTCTGGACAGTTAACTGTCAATCAGATTATTTTCAGTGAGGAATGTCAATTGCGAAAGGCAGTGTGGGAAGACAGCTGAAGAGGGAAGTGAGAGGCAGAGAAAACTGAAGTGAACATGGATTATGGAGGCCTGAGTTTTAAGCTATTTATCGCAAGTGTTTAGGCTAAAATGCAGCCTTGTATATACAGGTCCTATCTGAAGATGACACAAGTGTTGTTATTTTTCAAAGTCAGCAAAACTGTCCAAGCTCCCAGGAGTAAAAATGGATGAGATTTTGGGTCAGTCAGAAGTGGATTATACCAAGTAGCTGGACCAGTGTGTGAGGGAATTTAGCTTGGGAGATTTAGGGAATTTGGCCTGAGGTAAAAGCCACTTAGATGGTATAGTCAGCTACATTTAAAAACATTAAAGACTCCAATGTAAATATCAGTATTCTCTTCTGTACATAATTTCCCTTAAATAATTATGCTTAATCTTTCATCCTTTCTCCAATGTTTGTGCCTATCACACATCTGGACCTATTATACCAAACTGCAAGGCTTTAAAGGTATTCTAAGAGAATGGTGGCAATGGAAATTGGTCACATTGTCACTGAGGAAGGCAAGGAGTTTCATAGCAAAAAAAAATGATACAGTAAACTGAGAAGTGTCAGCTAATAAGGAATGCCATCATCCTAATTAGTAGTATTGTCAGCATTCTGATAAATAGCATTTTCTTTACCTGCCCCTTTCCACAAAAGTTAACCAAACACCTGGAAGAGATAAGAGTAGTGAAGTGTTAAAAGTGTCAGACTAGGAATGATGAAATCCAGGTTAAAATCCAGGCCAGTGTAGGAATCTACCTGCTCCCTCTTTCCCTCCCACCTTCTGCATGGCTGCAGATGTAGCAGAGGCCCCATCACTCCATTCCACATAGTGACAGTGGTTAGGATTGCATCCTAAGACATTGCTGCAGCACCTAGAAGAGGATATACATTTTGCAAAGTAAAACCGCAGTAAATGTGGCTTTAGCTATTTGTCTCTTTTATTTATACTAATTAAGTTCTTGCATCAGCTGTTTAAGCATACATGGAATGTTCTCATGTTTATATTAATATCTTTAACATGCTGACCAATTAAAATATGACCAATTAATCAGGCAGCAATTTTATAATGTATTATATTTTACTACTTTTAAAAATTACATTTCACAAGGGAAAATGACTTTTCCAAGACAATGCCTCCTACAACACATGCATGAATCACCTAAAAAGCAAAGAAAATGTACTTTCTGCTTCAGAACGGTTGTCTTATCTGCAAATTTAATTGACAGAGTAGTGGGGGAACAGGACGGGAATGGGAAGAAACAAAAGTATAGGATCTGAAGGTGTGCAGTGAGTCATGGGGCAGAAAAAAAGAGCAATGATATATTTCCTTTTTTCTTCCACCCCCTTCTCCAGGTCTTTCTTTTTACAATTTCCTATCGTTGGAAATGAGTTGTTAGGGTTTTTTTCATTTTTATATATAAAACAGATTATAAACTGCCTCTCACATAAATATCAGGGTGGTGTATAAAAAAATTTCCAGAAGCATAAAATCCCATAAAAATACAGAATAATTGCAAGAATCACTGGCTCATCTTAAAAAGTTTAAACCACTGAATATGCCTGTTAACACAAACAAAAAATCTTATAGAGATTGGCAGAGAAGATACTTGCCAAATCTGTCATGGAAAAGCATTTCACAGCATGGGAGAATGGGCAGTCTTGGCCCGATCGGCCCCTGGCACACACCCTTTTTGTCTCTAGCCATGTTGCAGCAGTTGAAGGGAAGGAATATACTACCAACATTTGGGAGTGAACAGTTGGTCAGGTGTAACTGAGTCTGCCTCGTCTACATGAAAAATGTAAGAGTCTCTATCTGTGTAATATTTATGATGATTCTAGAAGATTATATTCATGGAAAATGCATGCAGCTTGTTGTTGTTTTTTCCTGACATCACAGAACCCAGTCTAGTGTACTTGTGGTTCTCAAGTGGCCTCTCATTCAGGCATGGATGAAAACCAGACCAGCTAGGCTTTGGCGACGTGGTAGCCTCATGCATGTGCAGACCATACCCAGATTTTTGCAGCTGATTCCTTTTTGCTGCGTAAGAAGTGGCAACCATTCTTAAGGGTGGACATCCCCCAATTTTAAGAATTTGACTATATCATGGGAACAATCATTGTCAGAAAAGAGGAAGTGGCAACAGTTAGGGGTTGTGGAGATACAGAACACTTAATAAAACATCACATGCAAGATAAACCACCTACCAAAAACCAAACAGACCTTAAGGAGCTTCCACACCAGCAGAGACTGCAGATGAATAAGTTTTTTTATACTAAAAGATAGTCCACGGTAGGGTGAAAACTGGGTTAAATGGCAAAAAAGTATAGGCTGCTCATTTGATAATAGTAATCATGTGGATACTGTACAAAACCTCCATTCATGAGTAGCACTAAGTCCCCAATAAACTGCTGTGTAGAAGTGCCTTATTTTTATCTAAGCATTTTGACACATAGAGCTTTTATTTGGAGGCTAAAAGAAGCCACTTCTACAAATAAGCAGAATCATCACCATCGTACACCAAGAAGGGCTCATGGTAAACATCCTAGCTTCAGTTTGCTTACTAGGATGAATAATTTCTATTACAAACTATAAGGCCTTTGAAGTATTGGTTTCAACATTTCACATGAGGACCCCACAACTGACAAAATGACATAAATACTCTGCCTTTAATGGATATAGAAAATTATTATCATACCACATTTTTAGTCTGAGTATTCAGAATATTTTAGACTACAGTGCTTAAATATCAACTGTCAGTACTCCATGTGTAAGAAGACACAACTAATTTATTTCATAATGCAATAGTTGGGGGGAGGTGAGGTTGCACAAATACAATATACATAAAAACCATTTCTCTACATATAAGGTAGGAATATCTTTTAAACATGCATAAAAAGTTCTCTCTGAGCCCCCAGTAATATTAAATTTCAAAACACGTGAAAACATGTACATTGTAAATTACTTATAAAATAACAATAGTATTTTTCACAACATAGAAAAAGTACAAAAGATTACGTTTTATCAAATTCCATGACAATGCATAAAAACCCAGTAATGTATCAATGAATTATCTGAATTATCTGAAACTTAACAATAACTTTGTAAACTGACCCACACAAATGCCAACCTCTTTTGTGAAATGAAATTATTTAATAGAACTATGTGTCATATGTGCAATTTCTCAAGAAATTTTTATCTTGTGGTAAGGAATACTGTAGTCTCTTCAAATGTAATTCCAGACTTTGAAGGAACTAAAAGTTAACACATAAAAGCTACTAGATACCTTGTTTAAGTAGATATTATGTACATCACACAGACCACCGTGGTGTGAGCAAATATGCTGTGGTTTTGCCATACATGCATAAGAGAAATTTATAACCACAATGTGAGGATTTTTCTATGCTATATAAAAAAGGCTGACACCCCCTCCACACACAGCTCCATGAACAACTTGGTAAAGTACATCTGAAAATATATACTTCAAAGTTAAGTTTCATTTCTAATCAAAGGGGGGCAGGGAATCTTGAACTTGCATTATGAACGAAGTAATAAGTGTATTAAAATGTCAATACTTCTGTCCTAATTCACATTCTAAAGATTGTCTTTACAGGAATTAAGAATAAGGCAAGTAATCTTAATAGTTACATTGTCAACTCAAATAAACATTATGCAGACTTTCAAACTAGAGACAAAACTCACTTTAGGGACTGTTCATGTTATGTTTCCTTTCTTTTTTAAAGGGAGCTTATTTACAGAAGTGGATCTATTAATTACCATGGATTTTTATCTTCAGAGAAACATACAGTACATGGAATACAGATAACCTAAATAAGCCATTTGTAAGGTAGTCTCAGAATCACACTGATCATGCCCTAGGCACTCTACAACGATTTGACATGCCTATAGAGACCTAAGTCCACCAGCTTGCCTTTTCAATCAATGAGCTGGGGAACAATCCACGTGCACCCACGAGTTATCATTGTTTGCTCAGCCTGATCGAGAGGCTGTAGTGCAACAGCGGCAATTTCAGTCTTCTATTTTGTTTACTACACTGCTCTACCTTCTGTGATAGTCTAAGGCACTGGAAAACTATTTTTGACTTAGCACGTAAATAATTCAAGTCCTGGTAACAAGTCTGAGTTGGAAACCTAAATACACCTTGTAGTCATTAACAAATGTTTTCCTCCTTAACCCTTTCACAAAAAGTTCATTAATTTTCTCCCCTTGCTGCTTCCCCCTGCCTCCTCATCCAATCTGTGAAAAAACTGGTAACTGCATATTTTCATCCTAAAGTGGAAAGGGAAATTGAGGGGAGCAATTCTTAGTCGCAAAATAGTCTGCAAGGCATAGGTTAAATGCTGTCTTCCCGCATACCATTCCCCTGTTCCAATTGCCTCCTGAGGATGCTTTTAATTAAAAATACTCATCAGAACATTACATGCATTTTGAGAAGGCAGCTTTAGAATAAAGTAGGAGTAATTTGCTGATTCTTCAGTAACATTCTGTAAAAACTCAGCTACAAACCATATCAGCTGGCAGCATCTATCCATGAATTACTGGAACACATGTGCAACAACCCAGGCAGGTGGACCTGGTGCACAGAAACTGCAAATGCCACCTCATAAACAGTAGAGGTCTAATAATTCTACTCTTCAATTTATTGGTCTCATCTTAGAGATCCCACTTCCTTTTTAGTACTGCTTCTGGTTAATTTTCATATTTGACTGCTGGTACAAGTTTTCCATTGATTAGTCATTTGTTTTCCATTTAACTGGCTGGGTATACCCCCTTTTTCCTATTCATCTATTTGTGCCAGGATTAATTTGAAAAGTCTGTGAGAATAGTCCAGTGAGAAGCCCAACCAATAGATGTCAGAAAATGAGTGTTGCAATTCCTTCCCCTTATGCAGAGGAGCTTTCCACAGCAGTACCTTGAGGAAGTGAGTTTGACAGCTAACGGTAAGAACTGGAGGACTGTATAATATGTACTCCACAAATAAACTTCTAATTTGAAATTGATTGTCCACCATTTTAGAGTGAGCTTGACACGACCAATTCTACCTCAGAACTCTCTCTGCCACAGTGCCAGTTCTGAATGTACCAGTATGGAAAGAGTATGGCTTAAATATCCCATCCTGAGTCAATGAAGCAGTCGGCAGCAGTAACTGGGCTTCGCCCACAACATAGTTTCAAAAGGGGCATGTCTGATCGTTTTAGCAGCAACTAGTTGTTCTAGAAGCCTAGTTTTCCACTATCTTTTACAAATAATCTTGGGCCATAGTATGTTGTGTAAATTATTAAAGCTTACAGAAAACCTTAAATTTAATTTAAACATTATTTAAATGTCAGGTTATTTATCTATTAGATTTCTCACCCTGTGGCCACTTTCACTTCAAATTGCCAATTCTATCTCAAATTCTCAGGATAAAGCTTGTTGAATTCTCTAGCTTTTACTACATCTGCAAGCTATCAAAAAGCTATATTGCCTCAAGCATCTCTCTCTCCCTACACCCACGTATCAGAATCTACATCCAGCTGCATCAACTTTTCTGGCCTTCACAAATTGTCTGGAGGTTGTGCTCAAACTCTTCCCAATTCACAGTGTTGCTAATGAGTGGCGTAAAAAGGTATCAGATTAACTCTTCTACAATTAAGGGGTATCACAGAGGAGAGGCCACACTAAGGATAGGAAATTGAACAGACTGAGTGAAGTAAATACCAAGTGAGCAATCCATTTTGGGAGGGGAAGTAATAGATATTAAAATACAAAACTGTTACAAGTACACATCAAGCTGACTAGCAAGGCCTTGGGTATAGCAACAGGTAAACCTAACAGCGAGCAATGTTTCACATTCCTGTTTTACAGAAATATGACGACCAAAAGGTTACAGCAGAGAAAAGTTCTTTTTCCATGGCTTCATCACACAGCATTGCTGTAATATTTAAAGGCTTGGCATCATATAAATTGGGCTGAATGTACAGTTTCTTACTATCTGATCTTCAGCCATGATTGTGTCTAGGTAAATGACTGCACAGAAAGTATTATTGGGAACTAGGCCTTTAAATGCTACAATAGTACTGTAGGTGCAGGATGAAGCTGTGGTGATGTGGCAGTATAGAAAATGTCTCATTCACACATTTAATAACAGCCAACATTTTATGAAAAAAGATATACTGAGGATCAGATTTATATCCCATTACAAAAATAGTTTTCACTGTCAAATTGTCTAAGGGTAAAAAGATGTGTAAGCTGAGACTGGTCATGTGAACTGGATGGCAATTCTTGTGCTTTACTAGACATAGGTTGTTGTGTGTGATAATAACAATAAGCCTCAAAAGCAGAGTTTTACCAGTAGAAGATCAAATGGCCTTTGTATCTTGGGAAAGCACAGAAAAACTAGGACACAGCAGACTATTGACAGAATGAAGTGGAATGGAAAAGTAACGGCTACAGAGCCAAAAGTTTTAAGAGGCTCTGGTCAAATGAGTGCTTGAAAAGGAACGCGTGCCCAGAACCCTCCAAGAATATAGAATTTGGACCAGCATAAATTAATAACAAAGAGCTATGCAACTTGGGGCAGAACTTCACATAAATGCCAAAAAAGTATGTCTTATCAAGCTATAGTCAGATTTATTTTAAAAATTATAACCTACGTTATGGTCCCCGAGAGGCTTTCAAAGCAGCTTACAAAATATGCTCACAACTGATTCTACACAAATTCACAAATATTTAACTGGACAAAGGACTACTGCAGTGACCTGAGAAACTGTTTCACCTGGAAGAAAGTTAAGGTAAAGGGACCCCTGACCATTAGGTCCAGTCGTGGCCGACTCTGGGGTTGCGGCGCTCATCTTGCTTTACTGGCCGAGGGAGCCGGCGTACAACTTCCGGGTCATGTGGCCAGCATGACTAAGCCACTTCTGGCGAACCAGAGCAGTGCACGGAAACACCGTTTAGCTTCCCACCGGAGCGGTACCTATTTATCTACTTGCACTTTGACGTGCTTTCAAACTGCTAGGTTGGCAGGAGCTGGGACCAAGCAACGGGAGCTCACCCCATCGCGGGGATTCGAACCACCGACCTTCTGATCGGCAAGTCCTAGGCTCTGTGGTTTACAGTTAAATTTGTGCATGTGATAACAGTGTGCATTCAGCCACATGACTGTGATAGTGAGTATATGTGTTTGGGAGGCAGGACAGACTTCAGATCTGAATCACAAATAAATCAAATTTGTTGCCACAGACAATGTAAAGCAGCCCTTAAGTGCTGCAGCAAAGGTTAGAAGCTGATTTTGGCAGAACTAAGTTGTACTGATGGACATTACTTGACCAGAAACAGCATCTGGCTAGTGGTAAAGAACTCTGTAGTTCGTTTCGATTCCCTCCCTGCCAGGAAGATGAATGCTGAGCGCAAGCAAGAGACAACAACTCTCTGTGTACCTAAAGCCCTTATAATTATAGGAGCGTTGCTGCTTTGTCCTGCTGGGCTCCTATAATGCAGTTATATATCATAGCTTTTACCTTTTCCTAGGATACCATATGCAAAGTTACTTACATGGGGAACATTAAGATTCTTTGCCCAATTATACTTGCAAGGCTCATACTCAACCTGCAACCATCATAGCCTAGAATGGTAGTGTTCTGTGGGAAAATTCATATAAGGGCATGTACAATAAATGGGTTAATGTGAAACCCTTGTTCTCCCTCAAAACTATATCATGGAGGTGTCCTCACACTTTCTCTACAATATAAGCTCTAACCATTGACTATAAGCTGCTGCTTAATGCTAAGCTGTTATAGATTTTACAATGAGAAACCTTTTAAAAAAAAAAAAAAAAGCCAGGCAGCACCCACGGGTTTCAAACTGCTGTGGGCAATTGCAGGATCCAAGCTACGTGTTGGTCTATGGAACCGGTGGGCTGAGCTGGCTCATGAGAAACCTCTTTTAACAACACAATGACAGTGGATATCAGAATGGAAGGAAATAACAGAGCTGACTGCAAGAGGAGTGCATCTTAACTCAAGATGATTAATAGGAATGCCAAAGTAGTGAAATGAGTCAATTCTCTTTTTTTGTCTTTCTAAATGCAGCAGAACAAAAGCATGTGATAGTGTGATGTGAAATGAATTGGACTTATTGAATGAATGTGAAAAATCCTGGATACCACTCTTAGTTATAGGATAGGAATAAAGTTAAATAGTGAATATCTAAGTTAGACCATAACAGTTTCTATGATTCACTCTGCAGGAAGCATGAACAACTTTGGTGCACTGATATTCTTCATAGGATCCCAAAGACACAACAATAAAATGATGAATCATTTATTTTCTTTTGGTACCAGCTGAGCTAAAGGTTAAAGTTTAGCTATCTTTAAAGAGAAGGAATCCTAGGTCATTTTAAGAACTGGTGAATTTTTTAATGTTTTTCCAGTATAACTAGGAAACAAGAAGTGCATAAAGAACAAGCTGCATTTTGTCCCAGAGTGTCCAAGTTATTTAATAAAAAATGTTCACCTGGTTCCTTTATAAAAAAGCCATTCTCTAAATAAGCTTTGAAGTAAGCTGAATTTACTAGCATTAATATCACTTTTCGGACACAAAACTAATGATGCTTTTGAAAACATTTAAAACTTTAAAAACAAGCTCATTTTAAGAAAAGGCTTTTTAGATAACTTGTCAAGATGCTGAAAATATATCTGCTTATGCTTGCCAAATGCTACTTGATGTATGTGGACAGCTAATTCAAAGCCATAAAAAGTTCTCAAGTAGCATCCAGGTCAATTACAAATTAGTTATATTTTGAGTATTTCAATAAAACTGGGCCTTCATTTTCAAGAAAACAAGTAAAAAGAGCATTCAGGAACAGCAGGAAAACATCCCAGCTTGAGGTAATAAGATTAAGTTGCACATATAGAACACATGCTCTTGTGCAACACTGCACTATTTTTAAGGCCCCACTCTGGAGGGGAAAAAATCAGTTGTGCAATTACATGAGTTACTGCTGCAATCATTGTAATGCAGCTCTCTCTCTCTAAGTTTGTGCCCTGAATTGCTAGGATTATCACCTCATCCAGACCTAGAGTCAGAAAAGTCTTTTGTGGGACTTCATTAGTCTGCCCATGGCAGTTCTAGAAAACTGTCAAAAGCATTCTATTTACAACAATACATGTAAGTATCTAGCATGCAATTTTTTTTTAAGGAATAAAGGAATCCTAATTCAGGCACCACAATTATTGTTATCACTCATACCATCAATATAAGGACATTATAATGCAAGTTTTTAATAAATAAATTAAAAGGTAAAATAAAAGAATAAGTGTTTCACTGATTTGGTAAGATACATGCCAAAAATGCAGTTTCACAGAGCAATGTTTTAAAAATTAAAAATTAAAATAAATATCAGTGTGGAAAGATATCCTTAGTAGGTTATCAAACTTTTTTGTTTTGAAAACTCATTTTAATACTCTGTATTATTTATAAACATTTGAAACATGTAAATCTATATGCACAGCTGTGAACAAAAGCTGTGATTACTCGGATTTCTTGTGTTCTTCAGGAAGGGAAAGTACTTTTCTTCTCTGATGTATCATATGAAAATACAGCTGAGGGAAGACTGAAAAACAGAAAAGAATTATGTAAATAAAAGTTAGTATTTTTTTAACTTACACACAATTTAATATCATGTATTCAAGGGCTTTCACATGTATATCAGTGCCCCCAAAGCCAAACATATACTTTCTGCTCTCTTTTAATGAAGTGGAGGGAACCCCCCCCCCAAAAAATACAAGATTGTTTACTTGTCAACCAAGGGACCATGAAGCCATTTCCCTTCTGTCCATCTTCAATTGCAAGATATAATGTATGAAACATTGTACATGACAATGCTCAACTTAATGGCAAGGTGATTTCTACAAAGTTCTATTCAAGTAACACTCATTGCTCTACCTTTAGACACAGTCAGAGTGTCTCTGTTGCTCACCACTTAGCCAGCTAGTCAATTCTATAATATAATATTCATTTGTATACCTCTCTATTCTATACCAGAACTTGGTTAAAACAAAAATGAATATTTTTTACACAAACACAGAAGCTGAGATAGCTCTGTGAAACAAACAGATGCATTAATTTTCTGCTCAAATGACACTGGATCTTGCTGTGAGAAAATATTGATTTGGTAAGATACATGCACAAATACAGCAATGTATCATCTTTCCTTGAAAGCCCAATAATATTTGCAACTTTCGCTGGTCACTCTATGTACCCAATTATTTTTGCAGTTCTATTTCACAATGTGAAGCTTGTGTGCTCAAGCTGACCTTAGGAAACCACTAGAATGAAATGCACGAAAGAGAGCCTCATCTAAGGGCTTTTGTACGTTTTGCAATGTGTACATTTGTCATGTGGTCATGACAGTTTTTGAGTTTTAATAGGTGATAACTATGATAAAAATATCTGCACAGGCAAATATGCCAGCATGGGATTAAATGAATTTTTCATTTCTATCACAAAAGTTCAACTTAAAAGCTAGGCTTCAAAAACTTATTACATGAAAGAGAAAACAAAGCTAAAACCCAAAGTCTTCTTTCAAAACATGAAAAAAAAAGATCAGTTGCAACTAGCATTCTTGAAACAAATATATATTCTCTTTTGCTTTCGTCCCCTAATTTGGCTATAAGAAGAGGGAGAGAATAAATAGAAAAAGATGGCTATAGGTAAAATAAAGAGAAACAAGAATTCCACAAGTGCCAGAGGGAAATCAGCTGTAGAATTAAAACATAGTTCAAAAACTTGCTTTTGTTCTATGCCTCAGTGATGCAGGATATGTGCATTTAAATTTACTGCTATTTTTCACTGTTGAAAACCCACCTTTTATAATGCTTGCTCATTCTAGAACACTGAAACATGTACAGCTAAAATAGGTTTCCAGGCATTTTAAACTGCTTTAATCTAACAGCTACAGATCTCAAGGGTGGAAGCATTTAACTTAGTGCTATACTTACGTGGAATATAAGATAGCATAGTCAAGATCAGGAATGTATAGTAGTCAAAGGAGAAATTGTATTTGTTAGGTAAACTAATTGAAAACAAGTCGGACCGTCTGACATAGGGCAGAGCAGCATATATTGTGAGCAATTCTCCTAAAACTCCCATTGGATACAGTACGAAGAACAACGTGTACCTAAAACAAACAAACAAAAACACAGATATGCAAAGTTACAAGCAGGTAGCCGTGTTGGTCTGCCGTGGTCAAAACAAAATTTAAAAATTCCTTCCAGTAGCACCTTAAAGGTAAAGGTAAAGGTACCCCTGCCCGTACGGGCCAGTCGTGTCCGACTCTAGGGTTGTGCACCCATCTCACTTAAGAGGCCGGGGGCCAGCGCTGTCCGGAGACACTTCCAGGTCACGTGGCCAGCGTGATGAAGCTGCTCTGGCAAGCCGGCACCAGCGCAGCACACGGAAACGCCGTTTACCTTCCCGCTAGAAAGCGGTCCCTATTTATCTACTTGCACTTAGGGGTGCTTTCGAACTGCTAGGTGGGCAGGAGCTGGGACCGAAAGACGGGAGATCACCCCGCCGCGGAGATTCGAACCGCCGACCATGCGATCAGCAAGCCCTAGGCGCTGAGGTTTTACCCACAGCACCACCCGCGTCCCCTATAGCACCTTAGAGACCAACTAAGTTTGTTATTGGTATGAGCTTTTGTGTGCATGCTTCACATGTTCACTCAGAAGTAAGATCCACTATGTTCAATGGAACTGCAGAGTACATGAGACTAGGAGTATGAAAAGGTTGCTAATACAATGCAACGTAATATTTTCTATATGACATTATATATATTAGTGCAAATAACAGATGCTGGGGGGTCATTCATCAAGAATGGGACCACTGTGAACAGGGAAGGAAATTTAACTATTTGCTCCTGCACTGGAGCCCTGCTATTTCGCACCTGAAGGAAGATCCCACTGGTGCCCATGGAAGCTAGTCTCTCATGCCAAATAGTACCTTCAGAGAGAGTGATTTAGAAAACAACAACTCCACTTTCTATCCCATAGTTTGAAGTTAGTTTGTTTAGACAGGATTCTTTAAAAATTAAACTAAACTCCTCTAACTTCACTCAAGCTTATTCTAGCTGCTGCACATAGCAGAGATGCAGCACCTGTTCCTCAGTATATATATCCCAACTCCGATCAGCCCCAACCAGTATACCCAGTGGTCAGAGATTATGAGACCTATAGCCCAACAACATCTGGAGGGTCTCAGGTTCCCCACCCCTGATGTAGCTCAAAACTATAGATAAGCATTATGCAAACCAGTTCTGTAGTTGTCCCTGATTGTCCAAACTAATAAAACTTGGAGGATCACTAGCTTTTGCTTAGTTAGGACTTTTATTCAATAAAGATATATTTTCATTAATTCAACTATATTTCAAGTGTATTCCAAAGTACAAAATATTATTTTATACAAGAAAATGTTAACAATGTGTAGAACATAAGCAAATACTTTTGGTCCTGAACCAAAGTCACACCATTCAAGTTGAAGCTAACTCTTTATTAGCAATAATGCATCTGCACAGACTTGGCAGAGTGTCAAGCCTAATGAGCACAGCAGTTCATCCCCGAAAGGTCTTGCCCCATAGATCAGTTGTTGAGACTGAAAGTCCCCACCTCCCCACAGTTGTCTTAAGTTACCTTTTCTCCATGGCTTTTCCCAAGCAATTAAGAGACTGCACCTACGTGCAACCAACCTCTCCTCCACCCTTTTCATTACTCTTCTGGTTCTGGGAGATAAAGGTAGAGGGGAACTTGTTGCAGCAGGAGAAGGAGACACCTATGCCTCTTCATCAGCCAGACTCATCTTTGCCTCTTGGCATCCCTCCTCCCCTGGCTTCAGCTTCAGCTTCTGCCTCTGATTCTGGACTTAGACTCTCCCAGCTCACTAAGCCCTGCTACCACTTAGCTTCCAACACTTCCTCCCAGTCTTCTCCCTCTGATCACTCACCACTGTCCCACCACCAATCCCTGGGCTCTGAGCCTTCTTCCCTTGGGACTTCCCCAGCTGGTTCATCCCACCATTATTTGCATCCAGCCAGTTCATGACACCAAGTTTGTGAACTTGTATTGCATTGGTAACCTCAAGACTTAATTATTGTAATGCACTTTATTTGGTGCTGCCTTTGGTTCTGGCTGCTACTAGTGCAGTATACAGTGCTACTAGTGCAGTATACAGTGGTTCTGGCTGCTACTAGTGCAGTATACAGTGGCCAGACTGCTCACAGAAGGAGAATACTAGGAACATGTTACTCTGATGTTAAGACAGCTGCACTGATTGCCGATTTGCTAGTTGGTCAGGTTCAATGTTCTTGTGTTAATTCACAAAGCCCTCAATTACTTGATCCCGAAGTACCTTGAAGACCATCTAATCATTTATACTCCACCTCTATCACTGGGATCTTCTGATGGACATCTGATGGTTCCCTATACCCCTGAGGTTCAGTTGGCCTTCATAAAGGACCAAACCTTTAGTGCAACAGGTCCTGTCCTGTAGAACTCCAGAACTAGAGGTTCAGCAGGAGCCACCCCTACCTTCTTTCAGATGTCTTCTGAAATTGTCCTTAGACAGGCCTTCATAATGTGCATTTTTGCTTTATTCAACCAGTATTTACAGATGTTTTACACTGTGTTTTATATATATTGATAGATTGGTTTTATTGTATTTTATATGCTGTAAGACTCCTTGATATATTTTATGAAAATGAAGATTATTAATTTTTGAATAAAATAAATATGTCAACATTCTCTTTATTTTCTAGGACTGATATTTCTGTTTTGCAATTATTAGGAAAATATGCCCACTGATGTATAGTTTCTCAGGCTCATAATCATGAAGTGCTTAATGCCCTTACCTGGCCCATTTGATGAAGTAAGGAAGGTGGTTCAATAAGTTGAAAGTATAAAAGGAATAACGGACGATCTCTGTGATTGTCCAGGCAACAACAAAAAGGAGGATGCAGTCTTCATTTTGTACCTATTAAAGAAAAATACAGTTGCTGTAAGTTGAAAATAAATTATAAACTTTCTAAAATGACAAGCTTTTAAAGCTACCTTTTCAAACTTTGTAATTCAGGTCCACAGGAAAGCAGAAATATTTATCGGGGGGGGGGTGGGATAATACTCTTCAATGTAATTTGCCTTCTCCTTTGTAATTTCAAGGTTAGAATGCCTGTGCATACACATAAATTAAGTGTTGCTCAGAAATGACACAACATAAAAATCTGAGAAAGTTACCTTAAGTTGCTTCATAGTATGATTACGGAGTATATTTTTAAAACCATTTACCATTGGCCTGCTTTTTAAATGAAAAATAAACAAAGGCATAACAGCTGACATAATGTCTAATTTCACCAGAGTTCATGATGTATACAATGTTTCTGTATGAAGGTATAAATAGGACATCATTTGGTAATACAAAGTAACTAAGCTTGATGCATCATCCCATGCAAACATGACATTACATACTCGTCACACAAAATAATTTCCTAGAAAACCCCATAGCCAACAATTTCCAACTTCAGAATTACACAGTACCCTGTGCTTCGCAAGCTTCCTATATAAGACTCAAGAGAAACAGGGAGGGGCTGGCTTTGCACCATCCTGGTACTTGCCTGGTCTGCTCTGCTCTGCCAGCCAGCAAATGTGTGTGCTTTATTATTTCTTAACTGACTGTGTTGGCTGTATTAGCATTCCATGAACAGAATACTTTTCACAGTTTATTCTTCTTGCCAATACAGATTTAGGCAAGAATAAAATAAAGTGCACAGGATATGGTTTTATTTTGACAGTTTTCCTCACTAACTTGTTTTTGATTTCTCAACTATGCTCTAGATCAGGCATCCCCAAACTCGGCCATCATCCCTAGCTAACAGGACCAGTGGTCAGGGATGATGGGAATTGTAGTCTGGCAGGCCGAGTTTGGGGATGCCTGCTCTAGATTATTTTCCACTTTTCTCTTAATAAGCATGAGCAGCATTCAGATTGATGCTTAGTGAACTTGCCTGAGATTTCAGATATCAAGTAGCAGAAAGGCTACAACATGCAAAGAAATAGCTAACAACTTGACCATTCCAGGAATAAGAGCAAGCACATCCTTCAAACATTACTGAACTGCCCCATGCAATTACTATTAAATATTAGGAACAAAGAATCCAGAAGGAATAACATGTAAACAACAAAATGCATGTTTCAGATTCCGGAACACCATTTGATTAGGCTTGATCAGAAATAATGTAAGACTTCTTCTTCAAGAAAGAGTTAGATATGTGAGAAAGCAAGCAAACATTAAAAGTTTCTCATTCAAGAACCTAAGAAGAATTTAACCAAAAAAACACACATTATTCATGCATCCACATATCATCTTACAAAATCCGTAATAGCTGAACTTGTTCAGGGAGCTCAGGTATGTAGGTATTCCTTCAGGGGGAGGGGGGGAAGCAAAAGTTTTTTTGTTTTTTGTTTATTAAGAATGTAGGTAACACTCATCTCACAAGGAAAGGAATGCTAATGTGAACCTGTAAACTAACTCTTCATCTGAGATACTTGGGAACCTGATAGAGTACAATACAGTTTTGACTATTTTTATTGCCAAATTACTCGAACTGTTTTCTAACCTGTTAGAAATAATCTGGATTCTATTTGCACATATAAAATGCTGCATATTGGATATTTGGAAAGTATGTTCACTTCCTCTGTCCTACAGTTACACTTCCTTTGAGTCAAGTGGGGCTACAACATGCTGCTTGTACAACAGCAAAAAGCAAACGCCAATCAGGAAAACGTGGCCTTTAAGTGAGCTGCTGCCAGTTTAACAGTCAGATAGGGATTTGACTCTCAGTGAGAGAGGGACTGTCAGATGGTTCAAAACCTAAACTGTCCACACTGAGTGGGGTTAGCTACACAGTGCAACTCAGTTTTTATTTCCTGACAGGAAGTTAAATCCTAGAAGGGGCTGAGTGGGTGGATGCTGCTGCTTAGAACTTGATAGCCATTTTAGGTGAAAAGTCTACCTGAGACTTGATTTGTAGGAGACTGCTGCTTAAAAAGTTTCTCTGAAAGGAGTGTGTATTTTAAACCAAGCTTGTGTGCCTTATGAAACCACCAAGCGTTAAACTTCCCTAAAGTATAATTAAATAAACATACAGTTTTGTTCCAGAAGTGCTGCCTCACTCTGAATCCTTGGTTGGGGACAGTGGACACTGGGCAGCTGCCACAAAAATAAAACACCTCGCAGCTGTGAAATTTTAGAAAGCTACCATAAGCAGTTAATCATAGACCTCTACTGTGAAAACAGGGGGAGTTTTATCTGTTAATGCACCCATAATATTGGTCATGATACCCAGCACCTATATTCAGTGAGGGTGTCTCTCACAAATGGATACTTTTTATTTTTTAATAGTGTTTCTATATTAGCCATGTAAATAAAATTACAGGAAGTAACAGCCCAGTTAACCAAAGTGTAGAGATTGACATGAAAGTGGGAACTTTTGATGCACTGTCCCTTTCCAAACAATGAATAGTTAAACCAGACCTACATATATAATTTCCAACTCTTAGAAAACTGTGAATCTTGTTTCACGTATACTAAATAGCTATCTGAAAATGGCAAAGACAGGCAACTTAAACCAAGTTTTAAGTCCAAAGTTTTGAAAAGAAGTTCACTAGTTAATTTGTTTTACATGATTTCCATTTCCATTCCCCACCCACCTGCATGCTTCTTTCCACACTACCTTATCTGCACGGTAGGTGGGAAGATACAACTGCATCAGTGGGCAAGGAGCCAGCACAGATGTTACAATTAAGAGTTCTGGAAACACATCTCACAAAAACAGCTGATCCTGAGGTGTCCACCAAAAACACACACAGTGGACCCAGTAAAAGGAACAGGAAATATACAAAAGAGTACAAATATTTAGTTCTAGGGAAGAAATGGATCTTTTTCTTGCTCTCTTTTAACTTACCTCTTTTACACTATGTGTTACAGCCCATGTCAGAAAAACTCTTGACATCACCTGGAAAGTAGTTAGCACAACAGAAGAGGGAACAATTCCTGAAAAGAAAGTTTATATTGGTCTATATCCTCAGTTTATTCGATTTATATAAATATTTATAAACCATTATTTCATGAAATATAACTAAATAGTTTACAATGAAAGGACATAAAAACATACAGTAAAAACGATATAAAACATTAAAATCAGGTGTCAAAGAACCACTGTGGAAAGGTGTATTCTCAACTGCCTACATAGGCCTGGTAGAATATAATAGATTCAACAGGTGTTTAAAAGTTGCAACAGAAGGCACCTGCTGAATCTCTATCTCTGGTATCCAAAAAACCATAGTGATGATGCTAAAGGCTCTATTTCAAGTTGTTTTAAAATGAGCCTTACCCACTCAGGGAATAACCAACAACACTCCTGCTGATGATATCAGTGACTGAGCTGGGATATTAAGGTTCAGGTGATCCCTGTTGCTCTAGAAACCTTCATCTTAATCACATGTTCCGAAAATGATTTTTACAATATACCATTGTTAACATGCATTCCACATCTTTAGTGCGAAGGGGCACAGTTCACGTATTTTCTTTAGATGTTTCAAGTGCCAGATCTTGTAAAACAATAATAAACTATTATATTGTAGGTTTTGTAAGGTTCTCACTTTTTGCGTTAGATTTTTTTCTTCTTCTTTTTTTTTTTTTGAGTACCTGACAAATAGGTACCTGACAAATGTCTCTTGGGAAAGATGTCAGATGTCAAAGAGATAAGCAATTACAGTTGTACCTTGGAAGACGAACAGAATCCGTTCTGGAAGTCTGTTCGACTTCCAAAATGTTCGGAAACCAAGGAAGCTCCTGCAGCCAATCGGAAGCCGCGGAAGTCGCTTCGGACGTTCGGGTTCCAAAAAACATTCACAAACCGGAACACCCATTTCCAGGTTTATGGCGTTCGTGAGCCAAAACATTCAAGTCACAAGGCGTTCATCAACCAAGGTATGATTGTATATGACTTTTTGCAGACATCTGAAGGCAGTGCTGTTTCAGGAAGCTCTTATAGTCAAATGGATGGGGTACAAGAAACTTGTTGTTACTACTATTTTTATCAAGAATCCTTGGGTCTCGGTCTGACAGCTCTGTGAGCTCGCTCCAGACTATTAACTTCCAGTTTCAGGTCAAGACACAATATGTTAAACAAGTTAATAATGGAGGGTCTAATGTCCACATATTTCCTCTATAATTCCATGTACATTCACACATCTTGAATATTTCATCTTCTCTAGATGTTTCTTTACACTCTGCACTGCCTTTTTAAAAATAGCTTTCTAATCATTTTGTTGTTGACTGACAAGTCTAAAGCTTCAGAGGCTGTTGTTTATTCCAGTCAGTAAGTTTCTGTTTTGGCAGTTCTTCCCAAGTCATTCATTAACTCATATTTCAGCCTTTTTCACTGTGTAGCAAGGTCTTTGTTTTTATTTTTTATCTCCTGTGTTGGTGCCTAGAGTCTCAAAGGCTAGAGTCTCAAATGCAATTATAGAGGGCCCTATTTGCTGTAAGGGGAAGAAAGTTGTTGCTTTTTCTTTGGGTCTGAAATAATTCATAAGGTTTCCTGCCTTACCTCATTGTGCTGATGCCAGCATATCTTCTCTGGGGGCTTAGCTTGAAATCCTCATGGTGCTGTTGGGGTCAGTGGTAAGCCTAATTATAAAACTGGGGTCTGAGAGACACCAAACATTATGTCCATCTTGTGGGCACCCCTTTTTCTTTTTTAAAAGGGTTAGAAAACCTAAAGGAGAACAGACCTCTTCAGAGTCTGTTTCTTTTTAAACATCCGATATTGGGGACAAACAACAGGGATCAGCGATCTCCATCATGGCTTATTTGTGAGATTCCCAGATGTATCTTTCTGCCTACCGTTGGTGCCAAGAACAGAACAAAATAACCTATGGCTTGATCCGGCAAGGCAATTCTTGTATCCTTACAAGAATGGCATTGTTACACATCATTTTTTGCTCAAAACCAAGCCTTGCTTTATTAAGCAGAAATTTCCAAAGATAGTACAGGAACAATAACAAATATAGATGGGTGATACAGAGCACTCTGATATGTAGTAACAACCTGTATTACATCCTGAATTTGCAAGTTACTTTGGAGTCATATATTGACACACTCATTATGCAATTCAAACCTCCCCCACCCTACCCTGATGTTCTACAGAGTGGTCAGACCATTGCCACATCATCAGGCAGGAGATAGACTGTTGTGGCAGCATGGAGCTGGTACAGTGATTGGGCCCAATGCTTTCATGGGATGGCACTGAAATAGCTCAGGCTCCAATGGCTCCTGGACTGGCTCAGCCCTGCCACATATTCAGAACACCCCATTTGGGGTGCTTCTTCTGGGTACTGCCAGTGGGTATCCTGCCTTTTGCTCTCCCACCTTCAGCACATTTTACAGGCAGAACAGGGAGGCTGGCAATGACAAGAGGCTACCTTGGCCAGAAAAGCTAATCAGAGGTACAGCTCCGCTCCCTCCTGTACACTGTAAGTGGGGTTTGGAATCCTCCTTAGAATAGGCATTAGGAAGAAGAAAAAGTGTGAAATTAGAAATGTATATCATGCTTTATATTTTTGCTATTATTTTTTAAAAAAAGAATAAAGTGAATAAGCTACATGAATCCAGTAACTTACCTATTGCGCAATGCAGAATCTAGAACAAAAAGAACATATAAAGTCAACAAAAACAAAGACTTTTAATCAGCCAAGCATTTAATCAGCCAAGGACTCAAGCATTACACAACTCAATTAGTTTTGAGCAACTAACTACTCCACTCAACCAACTGGGAGAGGGAATAATCTCCCAACTATATTAGATCCTCAAACAATTGGCTGCCCTTCCTCTCACTTCATTAAGACTAAAATGATATATATATATGGAGAAGAATTAGAGGAACAACTCTAGGAACAAATTTGGAATAAACTACCATTTAGCTCCATCTCAGTTAGAACTCAAGAAAATGCTTTAATGATAGCACATCGCTGGTACATGTGCCCAGCCAGATTGTAAAGAATTAATCATAACACATCCAAACTTTGCTGGTGGTAATACAATTTACCTGGTTCTCTAGTACACAGGCGGTGGTCTGCTTTTCTTTTGGGAAGTTTTTCAAAAAATTAATCAAATGATGGGACAATTGCTACAAACCAGAATTAGCCCTACTATCTTACTTTACTCCTCAGATTAAGAACATAACCAAGGCTGCACAGAGCCCCCAGCCCCCCCAGTAGCCATGGCCCCACCGGGACCAAAAACACCCCCTCAACGGCCCAGCAGAGCTCCAAGGCCTGGAGGCCTCCAGAGGTGAACAGAAAACAATAAGCAAAAAGCACCCCCCCCGGCCGAACACCAGCTTGCCGTAGCCACTGCTGCCACCCCCACCAAGGGAGAGAAGTAGGAGGGTACTGGAAAGGCCAGGGAGGCCATGAGGAATCACGCAGCCTAGCCCAGGCCCAACCATGAGCCTACCTCCCCGGTGCCTGGCATGAAAAGTGCAGGCTGAGGGCGGGGGGGGTACCATGCACCGGAGACCACCCCAGGAAAAAACAAACGCAACGCGGGACCTCCCCACTGGAAATTAATTAATCAATTAACTTATTTATTTTATTTGATTTTTGAAATATATTTTATTTTTTATTGTTATTTTCTTTGAAGAACTGTAATGGCGTCCATGCAGGAGGCCTGAACCATTGAAGGTCACTTCTGGGGACTGCCGCCTTAGCCCTAACCCAGGAACCCAATATCCAGGCCTCATGGGCCCTGCAGTGAAATTAAAACTTCCTGTGAATCAAAATTACCACCAATACATTTTTTAATTATATACACAACCACCTTTTCATTAATACCATTAGTTTTCATTTATTAATAAAAATAATAAAAACAATGCTTTTATGAATATGGAGGTAAGAACTCCAGACTATGAGCAAACAGATGCAGGGAAAAATTCCTCAAAACAAGAATATACTGTGTCACTAAAAAAGAAGAAGAAATAACTTCAGAATTTGCTGATTTTTTATGCCAAACTATACATCTCCCACAACACCACCTGAACAGGAAATCAGAAGATTCCTAACAGGGCTGACCATGCCAACCTTAACTGCAGAGGAACAAGAATTCATGGACAGCCCTATCACCCCTGAGGAAATAGAGACAGTATTCAAAATCCTGAAACTACACAAAGCCCCCAACCTAGACGGCTATACAGCAGAATTCTACAAAAGATTCAAAGAACCCCTGATTCCTTACATGACCCACCTATTTAACGACATCATAAAAGGGGCCCCCATCTCCAAACCTGGACCTCTTCCAAAATAGTCTCTCTCCCAAAACTACTCAAAGATAGCCTCAAAATAGAATCATACCACCTAATCTAATTGATAAACCAAGGTTACAAGATATTCACATCAATCCTGGCTAATCGCTTAAAATCTTCCTACACAACCTGGACCAGGCAGGCTTTACCCCTGGTCGCAACGTAACAGACCACCATTAGGAAACTGCTGGATCTGATAGAATACAGCAAAATGACCAAACTCCCACTGACGATCATGTTCCTAGACATATTTAAAGCCTTTGATTGCTTAGAATTATCTATTTGCAGTATTAACTAACATGAAATTTGGCCCCAACTTCCTACAAACCCTCAAACAAATTTACTCCCAAGCCTTAGCAAAATGCAGAATTAACAATATGGACTCCAATACCAAAGCAATACAAAGAGGCACAAAACAAGGATGCCCACTGTCTCCCGTCCTAGTCATCTTGGCCCTGGAATCCCTAGCAATCTGACTCCAAGCAGCCCCAGATATCAAGGGTGTGGAAATAAAAGGTAAAACATACAAACTAGGGCTCTTTGCAGATGACCTGATGTTCACAACACCAGACGCCATAAACACAACAACCACCCTAACTAAAGAACTCAACACATTTGCAATGGGGTCGGGCCTACAAGTAAACTTTGCAAAATCTGAGGCTATGTGCTTCAACACTCTCCCCCTCTGCCTGCATACCCAAAAGGAATTCACCAACATCACAAAGATAAAACTCTGCAGCACCAAATTCAGGTACCTAGGGGTTCAAATAACCAGAAACCTCAATAAACTATGCCTCTACAATTACAAGCCCAGGTGGCGACAAATCAACAGAGACTTGAGGAAATGGAACAACACCAACTTCACCCTCTCAGACAAAATAGCCATGATCAAAATGATCACCCTCCCACAACTAACCTATTTATTCCAAACCCTCCCTATCTGGATTCCCCCAGAAAAAAACTACACTCATTTATTTTCTCACACAAATAGCCAAGAATAAGCCCCAAATACCTGCACTTCCCATCCTCAGAAGGAGGATGGGGAATCCCCAACACAGAATCATATTACATCGCCAACCAAGTACGCCACATAATCCCGTATATTCTAGAAGAAAAGACAAAACAATGGGTTCACTTGGAGAGAGACACCATCGAAAACATTCCCAAAAGAAGCATACCCATTTCTTCAAAACAAACTAAAGAAAATCCCCACAACACTGAACAGGCTCACACAGAATGGAAAATCCCCATCCCCACTAACCCCTCTGGCCTATCACTCACTATTCCAACATGCAGCTCAAAACCTCCAGATAAAAACCCGGCAAGCCAAAGACCTACACTGTCTAAAAGACTTCTACAAAAACAACAAACCAATATCAAAACAAGAAATACAAGACAAACTAAGGAACACCCAAATACCTTGACTAACACACCATCAACTACATGTCTTCTTAAACAATCCAGCAGTAAAATCAGCAACCACTAGGCCCTTGACCATCTTCAAAAACCTTCTCCTGATAGCAGAGGGACACAGCAAAGGGATGGTATCCACAATATACAAAATACTGCTCCATAATCCCACAAACCCCCTTGATGCAATCAAAGAACAATGGGAGCACGACACAGGCTATGAAATTAACGCCACCCAATGGACTAGAATGTGGTCTAAACCTCCCTTTAAGACCATATCAGCCAAAAGGGAACTCCCTCTGAAACTCACCACAGAAACTGGCATTGATACGCCTAAGAACCTCACCAAGATGTTGGAGAGGCTGCACCTCCACAGGCACATAGCTCCACATGTGGTATGTGGAATGCCCTAAATTCCAACCCTTCTGGCAGCGGTCCTACAAAAGATATGCAAAATAACTAAAGGTATTGGAAAACACTCCAGAACTGGCCCTACTAAACATCTTCCAAGATCATAACAACCACTCACATTATAAAGAGCTTATAACCCACGTACTCTCAGAGAGTAAACATGAACCAATGCAGGCTTCCTCAAGCTCGGCCCTCCAGATGTTTTTGGCCTACAACTCCCATGAGCCCTAGCTAGCAGGACCAGTGGTCAGGGATGATGGGAATTGTAGTGTCAAAACATCTGAAGGGCCGAGGTTGAGGAAGCCTGGACCAATGGTATCAAATTGTATGGGAAATGGCCTTAACCAATAAACTGAAACTGACATGGGGACAAATAGAAGAGGATGCCTTCACCCCGGTATGGCTTTATCACATGCACAGCCCAACAAGACAACAACAAGAATCCACTGACAGCAGCATACAAATCAATCTGGCTTACCTGACCAACAAGCCCTCCCCCCCTCACAAATGCAAGCAAATCCCACTGCAGCCAACCACAGATAACTAACCACACCCTGCCCCACAATACCTCTCAGTACCAAGCAAATGTAATAAACAAATAGAAAGAGAACCTACCCAGTTGATGCTGACACAGAACCCCACATGTACACTATACAAAAGAATATAAGCCTCACCACCCCTCCTCTCCCCCCTCTTCTTCCCCAACCTTATACTGTACTCAACACTAATGTTTCACAACAAATGTAACTGATTTGTAAGAAATACTGTACAACCTGAAAAAAGAGACAAGGCATGTACTTTTGTAAACCAAGAAAATATTTAATAAAAATAAATTTAAAAAAGAAAAAAAGAAAAAAAGAACACAACCAATAAATACTTTATTCCCCATGTATTAACTGCAACTAGAAGAGTTGATTAGTGATTGCAAAAAGTGAGAAAATTTTCAGAAGTATGGGACATTGTGCTTATAGACAAATTAACAATTTCACAAAAGGAATATTGATCTGGGGACGAGGAAACTCGCACATTCTATACCATATGCATATGGCATCCTTTTATTGATTTTGGTTCTATCGACTCATGGAACCTTATGGGGAGACATTTGTTTGCCTTTCTTGGAATGTCTAAAACCACAACCATCAGCCACTATTTTTCTTTCTTTTCTGTAAAACTACAAAGCTCTCTTGGTTTTATAGTAAAGGGAACAAAGGCACTAGGCAATGGTCTTTAGTGCTGAAAATTTCAACATTTATGTAAAGTAATTAAACCTATTTTTCAATTAAAATTATGCTATTTAAGAATGGTTGCAGAGGGGCAATCACCAGAGAGTAGAACTTCAGAAAATAAATTAACTTGAAAATAATAGTTTCACTGCATTATGTCAAATTCTCTTTGATGCTATTGTTTTCATGTTTCAGATTTCACTTCTGATGTAATGAAGGAAACCAATACTTACCAGTGGTCTATCTATCAAAAGGGATAGAATTCAATGCAGGAGCAAGTTAATGAATGAAATGCATAGGAAAGACAAAACTTTATTTCACTGCAATTAGAAGGGCATGTTCCCTGGTACACATACCTCAACCAAAGCTCCAGTTTGGAAGAACTTCAAAGGTTTTTCTATTGAATAATAAAGATTGTGGTAGCTACCCTTGGTGAGGTATGCTCTGACTAAACCAACTGCTATAACAAGCCACCTAGAAGAAAAAAGGAGAGATTGCAAATGCTTTGTTAATGCCTATTGAAAAACAACTAAGGATCTTCTGACTGAAAGCAGGAACTAGTGCCGCTCTAGGTTTTTAATAGGCCTTTGGGCAAGACACCTTCATTGGATGCCAATTCCTCAGGGAGCCTACCCCCTCACCATCACTACTGACAGTTGCTAGGTTGCTTCTCTTCCTTAGCTTTGCTACACCTTGCAAAGAGACAGTGAACAATCAGGCAGTGGCAGTAAGTCCTGTTCCACCTCTGCTGTTTGTTTACTCATCCTCTTTTTAAAAAATTATGGTATGCCCAGTGACCTATAAAGCAGATGTTAACAGACTGGTTTTAAGAGCAAAAAGGCATTCAGGCAGGTTAGTCCTAAACCTTTGCTATGGCTGTACTTAGCCTCCCTGAAACCTACCCCTCATTGTCACTTTCCTCTCAGCTGGGCTGTTGTAGGCTGCAGGTAGTGGTGGGCACCCACTTTATGTATGGTTGGGTAGACCCACATTTAATGAGTTGGCTGTGCTTTTTCACATCTAGTTACATTCTAAGAACAGGAGATGAAATTCATACAATGTAGTAACATTGCATTATCAGAAAAATAAAGGCTCATAAAGCAATGATTTTAAAGTTTTTATTCTCCTTTTTACCAGTACCAAGCAATGATTAAAAAGAAGCAGTTATATCTGATGCAATTAGATGTAAGTATAATGATTAAAAATGATAGTGTTAGTTGCAAAATCAAATTAAGCAACCTTTTATGATGGATGGATATTAGAGGATGCTATCTTCTGCATTACTACATACTGTAAAACAACTGTAAAACATTTCTTTTCCAAACTGCATATGTAGTTTTTTCATTTGATGTACACAGTTAATATGCAGATATGCTTTTCACTGCAGCTTTTAAACATACCTTTGCACTAAACCAGGGCAAACCTTGTCTTTTCAGGAGATGGCTAAAAATACATTTTGTTTGTACATGTACTCTGTTACTAAAGTACACAATCTCAAATAATTATTCTGAAAAGATGCCCAACACAGAAAAACATGAATGCATTTATGAGCAATATAAGTTTAACAATTTTTTTACTATACACATTACTATGAAGATGATTGGTGGGAGTTTATTAGGAATTAACAAAACTTTCACTCCCCTAGAATTACTGAAATGCTCAAATATCACTACCAATTTAAAATCATATATAGGCATATTGCAGACTAAGTTATGGGCTGTACACAAGGTATCAGGAACTGACACACCCAGGCCGGCTGCACACATTTCAATGGGTACAAAGCATAACTGTCACAATCAACGAAGAACAGCGGCCAATCTTGACTCCTTAGCCTAGAGCAAGTATTTGTGTTGCGCTATGACTATCTGGATACGCATTGCATTCCAGTGACCATTCCCAGTCATTTAGTATGGCACACATTATTATTACTGTATTATTATTACCTTGCCCATCTGGCCGGGTTGCCTCAGCCACTTTATCACTGTACTGTATACATTTTTATTACAGTATTATTATACACCAACACATTATTACAATAATTGTCTATTCTTGTTGAAAGTGTGTGGGGTGTGTGTGAAAAGTACCATTAATGTTCCTCAATTAAAAGAGGGGCTCAAAAGGGACAGAAGCTGCTATTATTCCAATACCAGCCAAGAACGCTACAGAAGACCTGCCTTGCTCTGTCAGAGGCCAAGGTCAGCACTAGGCCAGCCCCCCACCCCCGTCACCCTAGGAGAGAAGGGAGCAAGCAGGCTGAGGCGAGGGTATATATATATAGGGAGCGGGAGGGAAGGAGGCCTTCTTGGTTCCGTTCAGACGAAGGGGAAAGAGCCTCTCTGCCACACCCACACCCACCGCACCGGCGCTCGCTCACCCGGCTGTCATGACCACGTTGTAAATGACCAGGTAGGCCGTGGCCAAGGCTCCGGGGCCTTTCCGCCGCCGGGAGCCCGCCTGCTGCTGCCCACTGATCCCGTAGCCATTATCCGCTCGACGGCTGCCGCCGCCGCCGCCACCGAAGGCCGCCATTGCACTTCCTTTCTCTTCGGCAGCGCTCCTCCTTCTCCTCCAGCGACCCGGTGCGACTGCGGCTTTGCCTTTGCCCCCGCCCCCGTGTCTACTTCCACTTGGCAGGGGAAAGAGGCGGCGCTGAGAAGAAAGCGCCGGCGAAGGGAAGCGGCGAGGAGCGGGGTCTGCCGGGCCTATCCCTGCGGCTGACGCGCTCCGCCTACTCCGGGGCGGGTGTGAGGCCGCTGCCCCTCCTTCCACCTGGCAGGGCGAAGTGACGCCATGGTCAGAGTCCAGCGCCGCGGGCGGCTGGCACAGGATGTTTTCGTTTTGTCCCTGTGGCAGAGAGCCGGGCTGGGGGCGTTTAGGAAACCAGCAAGCGCAGCATAAACCTACCGTGGCATAAATGTATACCTGCCGCTACCAGGTAATTGTAATGCAAAGGCGTGTACTGGTCAGGTTTGTATTCCACTTGCGTACTACTTGCGTTTGCTGTTGGGCCAGCTGTCGAAATCCCCAACGCTGTTCACAGAATTAAGCCTCTAAGCACCTGTTTATCAGGATTTATGTGCCATTCTCCTCCTAAGGACGTTTAAGTGGTCTAGATGGTGACCATCCAGTTTTAGATTTGCAGCCACCCTGTGAAGGTTGCATAGCTGTGACATAATGCCTAACTCCACACCAGGGGCACCCAGCCAGCTTTGAGGCAATTGGATTGTAGCCCGATCTGAGGTGCAGCATAGTCGCCCTGTAACCTTGTATCCCTGGGACAGATGGGTGCCAATCAAATAAACATTGAGTCTGCATGTATGTGCTTGGTCTGAAGAGGTTAAAGCCTTCTGAACTACAGCATCACATTTCATAAGGGGACTTGGGTGGCACTGTGGCCTGAGCCTTACCGAATGGTTTTCTTTTGCACCAGAAGCGGTTTAGTCATGCTGGCCACATGAGCTGGAAAAGCTGTCTGTGGACAAATGCTCGGCCTGAAAGCAGAGATGAGCGCCACATGCACCCCATAGTCAAATTTGACTTGACATAACTGTTCAGGGGTCCTTTACCTTCTTACCTTTCACACTTTATCCATTTACATGGGTCTAACAATGGTGCAGCTACCAAACAACACATAAGTGGCTCTTACAATTACGAACTTGCATGGAGTATTCACTATGTGTACTCTCTAAAGACAACAGCATATTAAACAGCATTGTCACCCCAATCCTCTATGCTCTAGTTGAATGTTGTTTGATATTTTGTTTTTGTAAAATTGTAAAAATAAAATCAATAATAGTAGTTAGAATCTGCAAGTTTTTACTGGTAAATTGATTAATTAAAACCTTTAAGCAGAAAAATACCTCCCTTCCATTGGCTCTGCCCAGAGGGAAGAAATCTCCCTTCCTCCTAGAACTCCTTCCTTCTTCTATAACTCCATGAACTCTATAAAGAACAGCCTATTGGAATGTGAGTAATATTTCTACATGTGCCTTGATTCTCTTCAATAAATCTATGTATGAGAGGTTTGTGGAGTGCTGTTGAAAACTATCATGATTGAGAGAGGTCTCAGGACAGAATAGGTAACATTAATTGCATGCTGTTTCACATTCTTTTTAGTATCTCAGTCAGCCTTTTGTGTTAAAGTTTTGGCCTTTGAGTAATATACAGATTTTGTGTGTGTTGCTATTTAACTAAAACATAAATATTGTTTATTTGGTTAGCAGCCTTAATTGCAGTATATTTACTGCAAGTGAAAAATGTTGATATACAAATATAATACTGATACATAAACATAATATCTAAACCTTCCCATAATTTCCACACAAATTTCCAATACAACAATAAATTTTGTAATGTGTGAAGCAATCCTATGGGAAAATTGCATCATGTGTAACCTTATACAGTGGTTCCTCAGGTTACATATGCTTCAGGTTACATACGCTCATATGCTTCAGGTTACAGACTCCGCTAACCCAGAAATAATTGCTTCAGGCTAAGAACTTTGCTTCAGGATGAGAACAGAAATTGTGCTCCGGCGGCGCAGCAGCAGCAGGAGGCCCCATTAGCTAAAGTGGTGCTTCAGGTTAATAACAGTTTCAGGTTAAGTACAGACCTCCAGAACAAATTAAGTACTTAACCCGAGTTACCACTGTAGAAGCATGGAATTGTTGAGTTAGAAGGTACTCTGAGAGTCATCTAGTCCAACCCCCTGCAATTAGGAATGTCAACTAAAGCATCCAGGACTTCTGTTCATTAAAATTATTGTGATTATAAAAGTTGCTTCTATGGGATTTTTTTCTAGCATAAATAGATATTTTTAGTGTCCCTTATGGAGTTTCATATGAACTACCTCACCTACTGATGAAGGAGACGTGTCTGGACAGAAGAGGGTAGAGTCAGAAAATAACTTACTAATAATATTTCCCATTTGTCAAGCAAGTGTAGTAAGTAGGATTTATGAAAATTAGGTGATGTGTAATCAAGAGCAACGATCATAGAAGGTTGAGAACCATGTTGCAATAAAAGTTCTGGGTATAAGATTAAACAAATGAGCAAATGGTAGCATGCTTTGTGGTATTTCTTTATTGAGAAATTGTGAGTAACTACAGCTGTAGTGTTCTCATATCTTGCAACTCTTTTGGTTTAAGAAATCATTGGCATATTTTTAATTATGGTATACAAAAAATACACCCCATTGTTTTCTTAACACATTGAAAATGTGACAAAACGCTCTGTATGCACTAAATAATACTAAAAACCTTATAAGAATGTGTGGCAAACTGGCAATTATTGTGTTTACTATAACAAAAGTTCTTTATCCATTCAAAAAGAAGACACGATGGTAACCTCCTCCTAGCAAGAAACAGCAAAAGCAGTTATAAAAACTCACAGCAATAGTGAGTGAGCCTCATATATAGAATGTTGCATTCCAACAGGCAGATGAGCAAATAATATAGAACACATAACATTAGGCAATATCAAACAATCAAAAGATGATACCGTATACATCTGTATTAAAGTACACTTAATTTCTCCCCTCTCCCTTAGTAAGCTAAAGTAAGCTTCATTGTATACTTTTTTTAAGAAAAAAAGAAGTCACTGTTACACTTAAAATGTTTGCATCTTACAAATAAAGTGAGGGAGGGAAAAGCCACACAACTGGAATGATGTGCTTACAGTGGGCATATTGATTAAATGTAACTTTTCATGGCCTCTGGACTGCAACTAACTGTGAAAGAAAAGCAATGTCAGTAAATCTAAATGTGTTAATCAGTTTGAGGAAGAATCACATTTTATTATTGATTGTGCTGATTTTCAATTTTAAGTCACTAGCCTCACAGATACTGCTAAAACATGGCTTTGGAAGTTGGTTTCAAACCAGAGTTGCACCACACAGGCACACGATCATTGACTTTACACAACATATTGCTTTGCAGCAGCATATGTCTTTTCAGTTCAATAAGCAAAGTTCTGTATTTATCTTGGTTGCCCACACGGTAATCTGCCACCATGTAAGGTAACCTAGGACTGCTTTTGGTTACCATTTCTGTTTGGCAGCTGTGGGGAGAAAGCCAGTCAATTACTATATAACCTACAGGTAAGGCAGTCAAGAGAAGCTGTCACACCAATGCTTACACAACATTTTGGATAGTTTGTGGTTGAGTACCAAATCTTGAGTGTACCAGCTGTTATGGTTGGAAATTGCCATAAACCAGCTTATTCTTGCTTTTACTAATGTCATGGTAACAACTGGCACGTCTGGAGAAAGAGTAACTGAGGAGAAGATCTACTGCTCAACTGGCAACAACAAATTAATGGGGAAATGTTCATTTAGTGTTCAGAGGAGGAAAACTACACTACATTTAAGCTGAAATGCTTAGATTTAAGCTTAATTCATTCTCTTCCAATGATATTGCATAAATTTAGTTATTCTGAATTACAGTTATGAATGATAATGTTCAGAGGAAGAACTAAAGAAGATACAGAAACTGAAATGCTGCTGTGGTGGAGTCTTCACTTATAAATATGCTGCAAACATTCTACGGGATGATGGCAAATAACTGTGTTGTGTATATGCTTGACAAGTTATTCTGTGCAGCTCTCATTCTTTTAGTGGCCCTTTGCAGGTAAGCCTTCTGCTAGATTGTGCTCAGTGTTCTCAAAATACATTCATATAAGATCCACTGATGCTAGGAGACTTACGTGCAGACATGATTGGGAGGATTGGCTCTGAAGTATTCCAAGTTCTCCATAGCTGTCGTATTGGTTGATGGAACAATTAGCGCAATTGTTCAGTCCCCCTCTCCTGATCAGCATGTTCAACAAATAAATTGTGGACTCTGGTTAAAATTGCAGATTAGCATTTCATATGGTGTTGTTCACATTGATTGTTTGGGCAATGCAACTGATGCCTTAACTTAAACTAAACTGAAGCTTGCGAATTCAAGTTAATGCCCATAAATAAAACAAACATGTTATCAGCTGACTGTGCTGAAAAAACAGGGAAAAATGACCTAATGTTACACTGTGTAAGCCTTAAAAACAGTCTTTTACTGGATAATTTTCCGTATCTCTACCCCATCCTGATTTCATTCTTCTTCCTCCTCCTCTTCTTCTTCCCCTTCTTTCCCCATTGTTTCCACAATGAGTTCTGCAGTACAAGTTATTTCTCCAAGACTGTTAACTGCCTTGCAGGTATATTTGGCATCATCGTCCCCACAGACTTCAGAAATAGTCAAAGAGCAATTGCCATCCTCATCATAGTCTATCTGGAAGTGCCTGGACTCCTTGATAGATTGGTCATCTTTGTACCAAATCACCTCTGGATCAGGGTAACCTGTAAGAACAGCAGGTGCAACAAGTCAAGCAACTTAAAACTATTTTTGCATGCTTATCCTTAAAAGACTGGTTCATGTTAAGGGGCTGATACACTGTAATATTGGGAAGGGATATGTGTGCACATGTGCATCTGTTAACATAATTTTGGTTGACACTAGGAACTGTTGCTTCTACTCATGTTGCTCAACGGCCCATCCTACCTCGGCTGTTCACCTACCTGGCTGTCTGCTTGCTCTCTGCACTTTCTCAGCCAGGCTACCTGCTCAGACCGTAGGCTTCCCTTGCGCTGTTTTGTACACATGTGAGCAAGCAAGAGGGTAGGCAGTTTATGGCAGTGACAGCAACAATTATGGCAGGGGTAACTTGGAAATGCCTGCCTGGGCTACCTGCCTGCCCATTCGCTCCAACCTGCTGTTGGCATCCTGCAGCTTGCGCCTACTGGCAGTCACTCAAACTGCAGCACAACACACACACATATATATTACAATAAGACGTGCCAAAGTGGCAGCTAGTTCTCTTTGCCTAGTCCATGTCTATGTTTATACTCACATATTGCAAATCACTTGGAGATAACAGTGAATTTGCAACATACACGTCTAGCTGAATGTGTAAAGATCGAGTGTAAAGATTGAGTCTCACTTCACATGACAATCTCTTAAAACAATCAGCATGGAACAACATAGGATTATGTATTATGTCTCTGCACTTTGAAGCCATTTTTAGACACTCAACAACTTGAGCATGACCAATCACAGCACATTCTGTGAAGGAGCTTGCCTTCTTTTCCAGAACAGCTTTTCATTGCGGCTGCTGAGAGTGCTAGAAGGAAGACCACTCCCTTCTGCAAGGACCTGGCCTAGGGGGCAGGGCCCAGACTCACCATGAACAGCTAAAAGAGACTCCTGGGAGGCCAGAAGGATATTGCTAGAACAACTGGCAAAAATGGTTTAGAACGGTTTTAATTTTGGTTCCACTGTTTTGTTTTTGTTGGGTTGGGGTTGGTTAAATATTTAGTTGGGGTTGGCACTTATTTTAATTTGGGTATAAATGTAAACGGATTTTTTTAATGTTTATGTTTCTATAGATTTATTGGTTATAGTCTGTATAAGATACTTTGTTTTTTAATGTTTGATGTTTTATTACGTTTTTATATATGCTATAAGCTGCTCAGAGTGGCTGGGGAAACCCAGCCAGATGGGCAGGATAGAAATAATAATAATAATAATAATAATAATAATAATAATTCCAATTGAAACTCTCTCAAATACACAGCCTGTGTCCTCTGTCTCTGGTTAGCTGGGCATAACTGTTTATTAATACGTGATTCCATTTAGTGGAGCATCAAGATGTACCTGAAGAGTAAAATAAAGTGGCTTATGGGTAGATAAAATACTAGTGTGAAAAACACTGATGAAGCAACACAGAGAAAGATGGTATGTTGATAGCAGAAAATAGTCATCCAAATTTATGATGAGTACCTTCAATTTTGCAGTCAAACCTAGCAGCACTGCCTTCCACAACTTCTATATCTTGAATTGTTTTAGAGAAATATGGCTTCACATGGGACCTTTCTTCATCAACTGCTTCCAGGAGAGCACTAGCAGCTTCATCTAGACAAAGTAAACAAAGATCCATTAAACCTATATAGAAGTTTCTCTGGCGAAGGATCTTTGTTTTAGTGGCCTAATCATCACCATCAAAGTCTTCCTTTACTTTCAGCAACAGTGCAGAAGTTCATGGAAGTCTGCTTTGTGTGCACATCATGATAGTCTTTAATGGTGGAGCT